TAAAATGACATGTCCATAAGATCGGAAAGTCTTCTGACACCTGCAGGCGATCACTCAGCATATCCCTGCAGAAACCTCTCAGCTACAAAGGTAAAAACGTGAAAGAGTTATGGTATCTACAATACGTCATGGCTTAGACCTCTCAGCTACAAAGGTAAAAACGTGAAAGAGTTATGGTATCTACAATACGTCATGGCTTAGACCCTGGTTATTGGGTCTTCTAACCTGACTAGGAAAGTATCCTTCGTCGGTGACTGGGAGATCCATTAGTCAAGTCAAAATACAGTTTAACCCTAAAACATTGCTACAAAAGGTTTCTCAGCTGATTCGGGTAGTTTTTAGTGTAATTTTTAACATACTAAAAGTTTACCAAAGTAGGACCAGCGGAAAATGTTTGTTTTTTTCAAGATAGCCGCCAAATCGTTCTAATGATCATAACTATGTAACTATCAACTCAAATTTGTTGATCTTGGTGTCTATCCCTAGGTTTTTGGAGACGAAGAACACACTAAGATCTGCATACTAAATGAATTTGGCCTATTATGTCACACAAAAATCCAATATTGTTTTGTTCTTATTTTAAGAAGAATTACTTTTTGAATTACAAAGCACTAACTAACTTGACAGGCCATGTTTTTTTTATTCTTCTAGATTAAACAGTACAGTTATTGAATCAGAATATATATGTAAGCATAGGATATTATGAGACTTGACAACTGTGACAAGATGATGTAACTTAACCTAAATAGAGTGTACTGTACTGAGTTGCTTTCATGCAAATGCTATACCATTACAAATATGGCGTCAAAAATGGCCACCAAAACCCCCAAATGATCGCACGTCCATAACTATTGACTGAAATTTGATGATCTATCCTTAGGTTTTGGGGGGCAAGGACCACATTAAGACAACTTTGGATATCACTGAGCTGTTGAATCATTACAAAATTGAATTCATGACTTTCAGCTATCCACTATCATCACCTAATGCACAAACAAACACTTTTGACAAAAGTTTTGTCCATATAATAAATATCAGAACGTTCAGTTTTGAGTGTCATTTCCCTCATCAGTATAGACCTCTTGAGTATTGTTTGGATTGTCACGTTTTTCAGATTGGCAAGTCCACATACAACAGTGCCAAACTGAAAAATGTGTGTTGGCGGCGATTTTTGACAACATATTGGATTTTTGTGCTACATCATTTTTTATGATCTTAAAGTGTTCGTTGCCGCCAAAAACCTAGGGATAGACACAAAGATCATCAAAGTTGAGTTGATAGTTACATAGTTATGACGTTTCGCTGACCATCATGGGCGCCATCTTGAAAAAAAAAAACCAAAAGACACTTTTCCGGGGGTCCTACTTTGGTAAACTTTTAGTATGTTATAAAGTACACTAAACCCTACCATAATCAGTTGAGAAACCTTTTGCAGCAATTTTTGTGGGGTTGAGGGGGTATTTACCATACATCAACCTGACTACATAGCTATTCTTGAGCCAAGATCTGCTAAAACAGACAGATCCTACAAGATCTACACCCGAGAAAAGTTAAAGGTAATCCACGTTGAGCTTAACGATAAGGGGGGGGGGGGGGGCTGGACCGAGAATACATGCGAAGATGCTTGATCTGCTCGAGGTGGCAAGAGCAGTTTTTCCAACCACCAATCTCTACACCACACAGACCCCGCCTTGGGAGGTCGACAGTTGTTTAAGCGATTTTTCAGTTTGTATATTATTTCAGTTATTATTTATTTTCATTAATATAATATTGATTGGAAATAAACTCGAAATTCACAGAAAAGAGGGGATTCTGCTTTACTGATACTGATGATCTACCCCAGAAAATGTTATTTACGTGAAAAGAGAGAGAGAAATGGAGTTTAACGTCCACTCGACACATGGTTCAATTTTATTTCAATAATTCTCTTGCGCGTAGGGGTCTTTAGCAGTGGGACGGAACCGGAGGACCCGTAGAAAACCCACGAGGTTGGACAGGCGTGTTATTTACGTATGTTACAAACCCAAAGCTACATTAGAGTAATGTATCTATACTATAGCTGCATTAGGCTTATGTGTCATGTGTTATGTATCTACATTAGGGTTATATATGTATCATACATCTACATTAGGGTTATGTATCTGTATCATAGCTACAGATGTATTTATGAAACTGTAAATAAGTGTAAAATTATTGTAAATTTTATTATTAGTATTACTACCATTATTATTATTATTATTATTATTATCGCATCTGTACTTCTGTATGTATACCTTTGTGTATGAATTAAATATTTTTATTATTATTATAATTATTATTATAATATAGCAGCATTGGGGTTATTTTATCTATATTATACTATTCAAAAAAAGTAGGGGATATTTGATTTTGGGGGCATAATACTAAAATATGCAAATGACTACGAAAAAAGTCATTATAGAACCTAACAGAAGAAACATTTCCAGTTACATGTGACGCCCAAACGCACCAATAGCTACCGCATGGAATGCAGGTGATGCTTGGGATCATCATGGGGGTCCAACCCAAGATTTGCACGACTCTGACTTTGAATGTTACAGTCATTGTGGCATTGAATTCCAGGGTGGAAACATCAGTTTAATTGTTTTAGTGACCAGAAAACAAATTTTGATATGCGTCGGCTTACCCAAAATGAAAGGTTACGTGCCCTTGGCATGCTACAGATCGGCACAACACAGGCGGTTGTGGCGCGGACGATGAATGTTTCTCAGTCTGTCATAAGCAGGCTATGGTCCAGATACCGTGATACACAATCTGTTCAGGACAGACCACGCTCAGGTCGACCAAGGGCGACAACTCAAGCCCAGGATCGATTTATCCGTACCTTGGCCTTGAGAAATCGTGTCATCACAGCAAATCAGATCAGCGCTCGTCTTCAAACAGACACTGGTGTGAGAGTGAGTGGCCAGACGATTCGGAATCGACTGCATAGGGGTCACCTTCGCGCCCGACGTCCTCGCGTGATCCCTTGTTTGAGAGATCATCACATTCAGGCAAGACGTCGTTGGTGTAGGGATCGTCAACACTGGGATAATCGACGCTGGAGCAATGTGATGTTTTCAGATGAGTCAAGGTTCACTGTTGATTTTTTGGACAGACGTAGGAGGGTGTGGCGTCGTCGAAACGAGCGCTTCCAAGACGTTAACGTCATCAGACATGATCGATTTGGGGGTGGTTCTGTTATGGTGTGGGGAGGCATCACTGTTGCTGGAAGAACGGCTTTACATGTTGTTGCAGGGCGTGTTACAGGCCAGTACTACCGGGACAACATCTTGGCAGTCCATGTTGTGCGGTTCGCACGACGTCATGGCCGCCGTTTCATCTTCCAGGATGACAACGCAAGATGTCACAGGGCCAGGATCGTTACAGGTTACCTCCAACAACAGAGCATCACCACATTACCTTGGCCAGCACTGAGTCCCGACCTCTCCCCCATCGAGCATGTCTGGGACATGCTTGGACAGAGGTTACGTCAACGTCAACAACGTCCTGCCAATGTCCAAGAACTTGCTGCTGCGTTGCAACAGGAATGGGACAATCTGGACCAAAATGACCTTAGACGTCTCATTAGGAATATGCCACGTCGGATCAATGCTTGTTTGGCAAACAGAGGAGGATTTACCCGTTACTGACTTGGTTGTGATGCTGTGGTAACTTTGCTGTTTGACCCCGGGTATCATTGTACCCTTATAATGGTCAGTCTGTGCCTTACTTAGTCTAACGATCATTTGGAATAAATCGATGAATGTGAACTTCATTTCATTTTGTCATTTGTTTCTTCGTCAGTTTCATTAGGTGACTTTAATAACACTTAAAAATCAAATATCCCCTACTTTTTTTGAATAGAATATAATGTCATTAATGTTTTGTGTCTATACTACAGCAAGGCGTACCCTGTCATTTAAAGGGACAATAACACTCTGGCTGGCTTGACAGCTCCAGAAAATAAAAAATAGTCTTATTCTAAGTGCTAGATGTGTTAGTGTCTTACCTGTTGTGTAAATTAGCCATTAAATCATATTTTACTTGTCCAGAGGGTTCAAAAATATTTTTAAATCCAAGTCACATTTGAAAAGCTTTACGTCAGGCTTTTCAAATCATTTAGTTGAATTTTTCCAATTTTTTAAATTAGGTGTGTTAAGATGAAATTTTATCACCAATTAATTGGGATATTGTAACAACAACATGATGGGTAGAGCCTGTGGCCATGTACTACTACTACTGATACTGATTGTCTATGGGGCGCAGTTACTGAATTCTGATACCTAAGAAATGGGGCGTGTATGTTGAAATTTCCATACAGCTTTAATAGTAAGTGCAGGAGGACCGCACTACACCCAAAACCAAAAATCTACAAGATAAACCTGCGGACAAGACAGAAAATAGACATTGCACCAAATAAACAAATATCAAATCAAGTGAATGGATCCGGGGCCAGCCGTAAGCGTCCATGATGAAATGAAATGAAACGAAATGGGGTTTAACATCCTATTGTTTTGCTCCTATACAGGGCTAATGGCTTTAATGATATCACCCCCTCCCACACTTTTGAAACTAACTGAATATATACTATATTACTGTAATCAGGCCCCATGTACTTGTGTATTAGTGAAAATATCACGCAATATTTAAAACGAACAAATAACGACTATTCCCTATTTTAATAATTGTAAATATTGTATTGATCACATGAAACACGCACACTTTTCACAAGTAGTATGTAAATAAAGGTAAATCCACAAAAATCTGTATTGTAAGATAATAACAACGACTATCAACCTCAGTAGCTTCTTTGTAATGTGTATTGAGAGAAAAAAACAAATGTCAACAAAGACAGATGCCTATTGTGTTAATTAAGATGATGATGAGAAATACACCAGATGTTTTTTTTTATAACGGACCCAACTCTACTATAAAAGATAGTTTTCCCCACATTAGTTAGTATAGATCCAACATCCGAGACAAGATGAATTCAATTGTGCTGACCTTGATGTATATAGCAGTTACAGTGTGTCAGGACCAGGAACGACATTTATCATTTCATCGTTTTCCATATTATGGCTACTACCAACCACCACCACCACCACCACGAAATCTGTATGCACATGAAAATTGCTGCCAGTCACAAGAATTTAAAGCAGCGGGATGCCAACTTAGTATGTTTAAGCTTTATATTTTATAAAATTGTTTTCTACCATAATCCCGTGTTTAGCTGCACTATTTGTCAAGAGCCGGTGGCCAATATTTAAAATTGATCATGCCAAAATAACGCTGTAGACATATTTAACAGTAAAAGAGAAAAATGTGTATTTTTCTATGATGAAGTTATATAGGAAGTCGACGTCCGACCCCTGTCAAAGCAGAAAGCAATTATTATAATAACAGATTTAATAATCTGTGTGGTACGGAAGCTTAAATACGAACTATTTTTTTTTTTTTAATTCGTATTTTGTAGAATAATTTTCAATTTTGTAATTTTTAATTTTCAATTTTGTAATATTTAATTTTCAATTTTGTAATTTTTAATTTTCAATTTTGTAATTTTCAATTTTGTAATTTTCAATTTTGTAATTTTCAATTTTGTAATTTTCAATTTTGTAATTTTTAATTTTCAATTTCGAAAAATAATGTTTAATTATGTAGAATAATGTATAATTATGTAGAATAATGTTTAATTATGTAGAATAATGTTTAATTATGTAGAATAATGTTTAATTATGTAGAGTAATTTTTAATTATGTAAAATTTGAATTCACAGTAATATGCCTAGTATTACTTCCATACTGGGACGAAAAACCGAGGTACGTGTACACATTGGAGTGCACGTAAAAGACCCCTTGGCAGTTGGAATTCGATATAAGAGTAAGGGCCTAGACCGTAGCGCCGCTTTCCGAGCAAAATTCCCCTCATACTATAGCACACTGTATGGCACATGCCTGTGTTTATTAGGACGTCAAACTCCATTTCAGTTCATTGCATTTCCTTGTCATTTTCCTGATACCTCGAAAATTTTCATACTTCCTCTTGGCCTCGGCTGCACACCTTTCAAACGAGTTGTCATTAAAGAAACTTGCGACTATGCAAAGTAAAATCTCCTAACGTTGTAAAGCGACATGTTTTCCTAATCAGTAACCTACAACCGTACCACAATGTCAGGCGGGGAGCGAAAACGCATATCAAGCTACGTCGTACGGGCGAGCTACATAACATGATGAAGATCATAGAATCAGCCGAGAAAAATAAAATTATAAATTATTTCACAAAATGGAAATTAAAATACAAAATATAAAATTATAAATTATTCTACAAAATCCAAAATTAAAAATAGTAATTAGAAAATATTTTAAAACTATTTAGCGTTATATTATCTAAATCCATTTTTGGATTTTTCGAAACTGTTAAAAATAAATGTAAAATTACAGTGAAAAATATGTAATTTCTTTAACATAACGCTGTAAAAATACCACTGCATGTTTTTATACTATAAATTTACTGTATTAGTGAGGTAACATGGGTGTAACCATAAAAGTGTAGTTTTACAAGTTAGAACTGTATTTTGTTACAAGTAACCTGTATTGATACAACTATGTTTGTTAACGTACATGTATGTTGTATTTTAACTGTTTTAACTACTATTCAAACATGTTTAAATACGGGATTTGCGTACAATTTACAGGAAACGTGTAATTGTGCATCTCTTTAGAACCTTAATATCGATAGGCCTTTTAAGGCTTCATTACTTTTCGTCTATATTCCACTTATGAGAGGGGATGGGGGGTATCGGTGCCTAAGTGGGGAAGACGCTGGTTCGTTAGCCTGGAGGTCGAGTGTTCGATACCTGCTTTGGCCGAGAAAGTTCATCTAGATTTTCCGGTGTGGTCCCCCCTTGCCAGTGATGCAGGCCGGACAAGGATAGCTGTCTAGTCGTCCGGATGGGACGAAACACCGAGGTTCCGCGTACACATTGGCGTGCACGTAAAAGATCCCTATTAAACTGAATATTTACAGTTATAAGTATACTTAAAATACAGTGTCCGATTTGGAATATCACATGGTTTGTTAACTTAAATACATATGAATACAAGGCTTATGTAAGATTACACCAAACGTAATGTAGAAATACAACCATATTATGTCAGTTTACATTATGTGAACTGTATATTAACAGAAATTCCATTTGAATTATTATTTTTTACAGTAAATTGTAAATTAACTGTCAAATAGTGACCACATCGGTTATTCCCTCTTTTGGCCACATGTAAGATTACATCAGACGTAAAGTAGAAATACAACCACATGTCATTTTACATTATGTGAGCTGTATATTAACAGTTCTAAATGCCATTTGAAATAGTATTTTTACAACAAATTGTAAATTTACTGTCAAATAGTGTTCAAATCGGTTATTCCCCTTCGACCACATATCGAATTTTGTGCAAAATATTTACTGTTATGTTAGTCAGATTAGTCTATTTTAGAGAAATAGGTTATTCAAAATCTGAATGCACCTAACAGACGCATGGAGACAGTGATATGCCATACATTGGGTTGTGTGGGACATTTTGCTTCGTGTCATGCCTCCCACTCTTTTCATTGTAAGAAGCAGAACAGTAGGACGTTAAACCCCATTTTATTTAATTTCTTTTCATTATCGAATGAGGTTTTGCATGCTCGGCTGAAAGGTCCGCAAAACTTTATGAGTTCGCCAGGATCTAACCTAGGACTACTTAGCCGAGTGGGGACAAACACATTATTTTTAAACATGTCACCTTTGCAAAGTATATTTCAAGTAAATATACGGTTCAAATTGTATTTTTTCCGTAAAATGACTGGCAGAAAGTTGCCAATAAAATCACTGTATTTTAACACTGACTTGTAAATATGCCACGTAAGGTTACAGTGAGTGTAAAATAACTTTGAGGTAAATTTACAACCACAGTGTAATTTTATTTTACAGTGAGTGTAAGATAACTTTGAGGTGAATTTACAACCACAGTGTAAATTTAGAGTGAATGTAAATTTACCTCACTTTCGATTTACAAGCACAATGTAAATTTACATCGAAGTTATTTTACACTCTCTGTAAATTTACATGCTGTTTGTAAATCTAAATCTACCACTTAGATGTAAATTTACAAGTCAGTGTTAAAATACAGTCATTTTACTGGCAGCTTTCTGCCAGTCAATTTACGGTAAAAATACACAAATATTATTTACAGTGTATTGGGCTAAGAACATAGTGAAATATAGCGTTTTAGTATATATCAGCAAGTTTTAAGTACCTATTTGTAAATTATTTCCGTCTTCATTATCCCAATCGGTGCAAAAAAGTAGGGCGTTAAATCCAATTCCATTTATAAATCATTCGGGAAAAGGGATCTAGGGAGTGTCCGAATGATGTTCTGAGTACCGATCACATCGTCATTATAATTATTATTAATTGGATTCACTTTGTTTTCGTAAAAACCAATCAATGTTTGTTGTGTTTCAGGGTCTGGAACAAGCCGATATACCGGTAAGTATTAACGATATATAATTAATAAAATCAGTATTAACCTGTTCTAAGTATTTATGTTAGATAATTAAATAAAAATCAATGTCAATCTGATGTAAGTATTTACGATATATAATTTATAAAATCAATGTCAATCTGATGTAAGTATTAACCATATATAATTTGTAAAATCAATGCGAATATGATGTAAGTATTAACCATATATAATTTGTAAAATCAATGCCAATCTGATGTAAGTATTAACGATATATGATTTATAAAATCAATGTCAATGTGACGTAAACGTTGTTTTGTTAATTTCTTGCACCGTATAGTCAGATCAAACAAAACAAATTTTACATAGAATACAAGAATGAGATCTTACCTGTGATGATATATTAACACTGAGTCTTAATTTGTGTGATGGATGCTTCAAAGGTGATTTTAGAAATATGATTTTGTTCTGAAAAATATAAGCTTTATTACTGCTGTGATTTGATAACAAATAAGTATTCTTTTTTATATTATATTCCAGGATTACCATTGACGCGTAAGTATATTTACAATATCTCAACATATTATTAAAACATATACGACTATCTTGTTTTATAAACTAAAAACAACAAATAATAATAAAATAAACAGCTCTTTTTCAACAGCTATTTATAATGAGTATACCGTGTACAATTGCCTGATCAGTCTATCGTTCCATTCCAATTTCTTCGATCTGAAAGTTTCGTCAACTTTAATACAGAGGTAGTTGATATATTAATACTGGTTAAATGGGGAGCGAGAACGGGGTCGTTTCTCAGTCCGGAGCTACGATCGCCCTAGCGCCGGCCAGAGCAGACAATCCGAAGACAGGCGCAACGCCTCGAGGGACGCACTCTTCGTCTGACTACAGTCGAGACGAAGCACTTATAATCAGTCTAACACTAACACCTGAAGATACGCCGACTGGGACGAACTCTTTCCCACGACGGAACCCGTCCTCCGAGAAAAACAAGTCCTTAATGCGCCAGGCCTCGCTCTTCATTGACGCTTTATTTAACGGTTTTCCATATGCAGACACTGTAAATGTTACGCCTGGTGCTGTAAGGGCATTATATCAAATGGTGATATTTAAAACCGATTTGTTGGTTAAATGTACCCATTTGAATATCATTGTAGTATTTAGAACATTTGGAATTTTGTAAAATAACAAAGCCTCTATGATTTTAAGTTTCTTGGTGGATTCTTTATATGGAATAAATCATATTTTATTACTGTCTAAATATAATAAATATATTAATCCATTGCAATGGGTTATTCAAACTCAAAATCCGTGTTTTTAAAATAAGGATTCCGAAGTTTAATTAACAGTTTACCCTTTACATCACAATTACGTCATATATGCAAATTTAGATTTTTTGACCAAACATATGCACTGGTCACCCATTACTCTTTCAGATGATAGTAGATTATTTTCAAGTTCTTTCAGTACCAAAGAACAAGAACCAAAAGTCTATCCTTATCCCAATCAACTTTATTACCGTTAAAGAAACACTGGCTATTGGTAAAAGTGCAAAAAAATTTATTGGGCCATGTTGAAAATTTGTCCAAGAACCAGTTTTGAGTTCTGGCGATGTGACTCTATCAGAAAATATCCAAAGTGTTTTCTTCTACCTCGGGTAGGGGTAACTCGCCATTTAAGCCCCTTTTGGGGCTTTGGTCGCTAGCCTATCCTTGTGACATATAGGTAAAATGTAGACATTATAAATGTGTATATATGATAACATCGATATGTTATGTGTGTATTTAATGATCCCGACTCTAACCGTAATGGGTATAAGATTGTATAAGACCTTGTGGATCCAATATCCCATACAAAATACAATGGTTCGAGGGGCATGCCACATTATTATACTCCTTTGTAATACAGGACCACGCAAATGTCCACCGACAGAGTTCATCGACTTTACTGTGCCAATTTCTTCTGATAGTAAAGAAATAAAAAGAATAAAACGTCTCCATTGGACAAGTCGGCGCAAAAAAGTATTCATTTGTATTGTGTATTAATTTGTGAAATAACACAACACAGAAAAGAAAATTAAGACATCTCAAATAACGTGGCAACAAATATATTTACATAATCGTTGCTTACGCAGTGCTCGGTCCCTTATTGATAGAGACGCACTGATTTATATCGGTTTTTATAGAACTTTTATGTAGTATGTAGGAGGGGATAGTAATTTTATGAAACATCACTCTAACCTTATGGATTCTTTGCTACTATTTTTATTCCTCATAATCCAGAACTCGTTATCCAGCAATTGTAAGAGACATAGTATACACCTACATTATTACTTCAATTCTAGTTTGCAAGTGTTGTGTGGGTGTTGATACATACCAACAACTTTACTCAATGGCCTCCAGTTGCGCTACCAGCACAGTCACAGCTGCTACTACAGCTACTACAACGGTTGCACCTACTACAGTTGCGGCAACAACAACAACGACAACTCCGACAACAACAGCCCAGCAGAAATGTAAGTGATGTGTTTGTATAGATATTTTACCCTGTCTTCGTATAACAAAATCAGGACTGTCAACCAGTTTCTCTAAAATAAAGCAAGTGTGTACATTATAACACTGGGTGGCAGAATAATAAAGGGTAAAACTATTCTATTTAAATATTGCACAAATTCAAATGTAAAGTATTGCCATAGTCTGAAAGGACCAGTACGTGTGAACTCTTCTTTCATTCCGCACACTGAGAGCTATCTGCTTTGAGAATAGATCTCTACCTTGCATTACCGCCATATTGAAGAATTTCTGTACTCTTTTGGCATGCGGCTTTAAGCCGTTTTACATTTTTTCATACACGCAAAGAATAAAACAGGTATTATGCAAGAGTTAAATCCAGGGCCGTATTTAGCGGGGGTGCTTGGGGTACATTGCACCCCCAGAAAAATAATTGCGCCCCACCCCATCCAAAAAAACAAAAATTATTTGACAATCTTTCAATTATAAAATAATACACTTGATTATGATCACACAGTGATGCTCTTAAGGCACTGGTCAGTCGATCGGTTTTAACGGCACCCACACGCCAATGGGTTCGTTTACCCTGATCGAAACTTTCTTATATCACATACGGGGAGGCTATGGCGCCCCACCACTCTGCTGCACCCCCACTTTTAAAATCCTACATACGGCCCTGGCTAAATCTGCCTATTTCATGTATTTTTTTATGACTTAAATTAATGATATAAGAATTAGAGGGAGAGAGAGAGAGATGAGGGGGGTGTTAACGTCCACTCGACGACACAAACTAGGTCATTTTGGGCCTAACATATGGTTCAATTTTATTTCAATAATTCGCGTGCGCGTAGGGGTCTTTAGCAGTGGGAGGAAACCGGAGGACCCCTCCTCGTCACGTACAACCGGGGAATCGAAATCGCGCCAGTTGACTCAATGACAGACCTTATGATATAGTGCGCACGTGCTATCCATCCACCCCCCCCCCCTCTATTATAGCGAGAACTGTATTTATCTAGTCTTACATAATTCCCCTTTAATAAACATTGTCAATTTCATTAAATATGAAAATTATAGTGGCTGATTGGTATCATGTCGTCATGTCGTGGTGTCGCCCTTCATAAGGCGACAACCCGACATCACGGCATTTTAACCCGACACTACAACCTGACATCACGACATTTTAACCCGACAATTAATTTTCACCCGACACCACGTCATTAAAAATGTCGTAATGTCGCGTAAAAATGTGGTATTGTCGAGTTAAAATGTCATGTCGTGATGTCGGGTTGTCTTGGTGTCGTGGAGTCGTGATGTCGGGTTGTCGTGTCGGGTTGTCGTGGTGTCGGGTTATCGGCCATGATAATGTTCCCCGGGATTTTGCAGCGCGGTTTCTCCATGTCGGTAGTGCAGGACAAAGGGCCTGACAAAGAACAGTGTCTAGTATTGTAGATAGGACAAAAAAAAACAACCACATTGACGTGCACATAGTGGCGCTGTGGTCTACTCTTATATTGAATTCCAACTGTAAGGGGGTCTTTTACGTGCCCGCCAATATGTAAATGGGGCCTCGGTTTTCTGTCCCATCCGAACGACTATACGTTATACCTTGCCAGGCCCCCACCCCCGTCCTGCACCACTGTCAAAGAGGAATCACTCCTGAAATGGGGTTTAATGTCCAACGTTTCTAGTAGTCACGGTGACTCAGTGAGTAAGACGGCGGCTCGCTAACGTTAAGGTCTCGTACTCGATCACTGCGTTGGCCGAGAAAGCTGATCGGTAATTTTCTGGCGTGATTCCTCTTTACAGTGTTACAGGGCGGAGGGCCTGGCAGTGGATACCGTATAGTCTTTTGGATGGGACGAAAAATCGACAGTTGGAATTCAATATAAGAGTAGGCCGTAGCGCCGCTATCCGGGCAAAGTTTCCCTCACAGTACACTGTATAGCGTTTGCCCGTCTTCACTAGTCCAGTTAGAGCAGAACAGTAGGACGCTAAACACAATTTTATTTCATTAAATTTTCCTACTTTTCTGCACTAATTGGGCTCTTGAAGATAGGCATACACTATGCAGAGTGCTATGACGGAAATTTTCAATGGCATTTCTTCATAAATTCAAGTGTGAAGGATTCTTTTATATGCACGCCAATGTTAGAACGGCAGCCCAAACCTTCGAACTCCAACGAAGGAGATACCAAAGTTCACCTATAGCGTTATTTAGGGGTCTTTCCCTGGACGTCTGTCAGCTTATATCAGGGACCTGACCTCAGTAGCCCTCCTAAACTGACTCCTAAAAACATGTCTGGATCAGGGCCGTATGTAGGATTTTAAAAGTGAGGGTGCAGCAGAGTGGTGGGGCGCCTTAGCCTCCACGTATGTAATATAAGAAAGTTTCGATCAGGGCAAACGAACCCATTTGCGCGTGGGCACCCTTAAAACCGATCGACTGATCAGTGCCTTAAAAGCATCACTGTGTGATCATAATCAAGTGTATTATTTTATAATTGAAAGATTGTCAAATAATTTTTTTTTTTTTTGGATGGGGTGGGGGCGCAATTTCTCGGGGCGTCTTATTTTTCTGGGGTGCAATGTACCCCCTGCACCCCCGCTAAATACGGCCCTGGTCTAGATCCAACATTAGAAGTATTGTGTGAAACCAATTTATACATGATAAATGAGGTGTTTTAATTTTGGAAACAGTAATGCCAGACAATATTGGGGGTAACACCCTCCTGACAGACATACCCTAAAGGGGCGTCTCTATGGGTCTAGAAACAGTGCTTGCTTCCTGACAGGCGCCCTCTAGTGAGGAATATTTATGTTGGTGCCAGACTCAATGTTTGAGATACCACACCGAATTGACTTCTATATTACCTTAGTGTACTTTGAATAAGTTACAGTAGTTGACAGACATTTTAAATGGTGCTTACCCCCTGACAGACGCCCCCCTAGTGAGCCATATTTATGTCTTTAGATCCCCTTTAGTGATCTAGACGACATCTGCGACAGACAAGAATTTTTGAATTTTGTGCTGCGTTTCTCCCATTGCATAGTTTCATTTGTATAAATCAAAAATCAAATTTCGCTGCAAAATGCCACTATGGCCTATATATGAAAAATAAATAATCATGTGATAAAAAATGTATTATTTTTCATGGCTAATAATTTTAGGATAGGGCGTTTGTAAATATTTACATATAGGCTGGTAGGAGACACTCCGACCTGGGGACAAAATCCGAAACAAATGATTTTTTTTTTTTGTAAGGAGGTATGTATCTAGTACCAACAGAAAAAAATCCACCGCAATGTACCTTAGGCAATTTTTTTTTTATGGACGATTTAGTTTTGGTATCCGACCTCAAAATGAATGATCCTTGTAAAACCACCTTATTTAGGTTATCCCCAACTTTACGCATTCTAAATGTGTTATCAAACTGCAAGTAACCATAAACACATTCAACAGTGTGATTTATTTTTTAAAAATATTATTAGCGCAACTATTTATATGCACCATACTCGTCTGATTTTGTAGGATGAACTGTCATTGATTTGTATGCTGACGCAGATGGGTGATGGCTCAGTTTTTGTTGACTTTGTGGTGCTGAGTAGTCGGATTTTGGTTAAATTTTGAAACCAATTGTTTGAGATTGCATTATGTGTAGGATAAATCACGAGACTGAGGTTATGCTGGGGAAAGAAAGGCTGAAGAAATACCCGAAAAAAGAAAAACCGAGGCCGGCATGCCGAGGTTTTTCTGTCGAGGGTTTTTTCTGAAGTCTTTCTTCCCCAGCATAACCGAAGTCGAGGACTTTACCTTGCTTATAAACCGTCTATTTTTACATGTATGCAAAATAAGAATATCCCAGAATTCCCATAAGAAAAACCTTAGATCATGTTTTCTTATGGAAAAAAAACCTACCCTGGAAGAATAACCTGTTACAGGTTTAAAGAAAAACTTTCAGAAGAATAACCCCAAATTCCCCTGTATATATCCACAGCCGCCCCCGACTTTCAGACCTCAAGGTTTATGAGGAGTACATAATATTATGGTCACAAATATTGAGGGACCGCTGGTGAGTGTTGTGATGGTGGCTTTCTTGGTCTGATACGAGCCGTTGGTTTGTAATGGAGATACTGGTTGTAGTGGGCTAGTTCCCTATAAATTAGTTTGGAGCGATTTGTTGTTTCTTCTCATAATGATATATAGAAAGGGAAGACTGTTGTCTTGTTCTGTGGCCACGGTGAACATAATTTCATTATGCGGTGTGTTGCAGTGGTCTAGTAAGGAGAGGGGGGGGGGCGTAACCATGTCGACAACATCGTAGGAGACGAACCTACTACGTTCACGTTATTGCAAAAGTCTTTGGAGTCAAGTGAGAATAAATATTTCGAAAGGTTTTGGGCTGTTTTGTAGACGACAGCGTCACAGGAGCACACGTGGGTGGATTTTGATGGTGGCAGACGTGTCTCGGGTCTTTGGTTTGATGAGCAGAAATGGGATCTTTCGTTACCCGTGTGTAGTTTGATTCTTCTTGAAGAGTGTTGACGCTAACGCAGCCAGGTGTATCCATTATTACAGCTACCGTCTCTTTGTCCGCAGGTACTATTGTGATTACCCTGTCTTTTTGAAGTTATTTGAGGGCTTTAGGTGTGGTTGTTGGGTTGTCACCTGTGAGGAGGCTAACATTGATAACAGTTTTGGTAATATATTCATTCTGAGATGTTTTAGAGGGTGCTTGGGTTGAGTTTTAGTTGGTTGATATTATTGGTATGGTTGCATTTCACAAGGATGTATAGTTTGGCATTTGCTTCAATCTGTTTTGAAGGATGTTTTTTTTGCACCAGGAGTTATGTGCGGGCGAGCTGGTTACGCTTAACTTCATATAATTTGAAGTGTTTTTCATACCCTAATAGCGACGAGAGAATCTGCATCGACACTTCGCCAAAAATAAACATCTTAGTAACCTGTGATTTTTACAATTGTGTCATGTCGGAAATGTTGTGTATAAGGTGATTCAGTAGTCAGTGAGCAGCTAAAATGACTAGTATACGCCCTCGTCTGGATCAAAATTGGATTCGTGTGTCAAGGGTTCATGACTAGAATAGTTAAAGTCATCCGTTCTCGCGATAAAGAGTTACAGTGAACGCGGCGAGTGAATTATTGTTGGTCCGATTTACAGTTTGTACGTTCCACGTGGCAGGGATACTTCATCACTGAAAATGCCTGGGTAATGTGGTTAGTCATGTGGTAATGTAGAATAGCTTTTAGGGTGGAGCAATTAGATTTCTGGTTGGGATATCCCACTAGTGAAACAATCTGGCTATTGCCATTCTTATGCTGAGCATTTTGCAACAAGTTTGTGCGATAAGTAAATATGCTTATCTGGGTTATAGCCTTTTGTGTGGGGAAATAGGAACGCCTGGATGGGACGGCAGTAGTTTGCCCAATACTGCCCAACATAATTGAAGTATTATGTTAGTTTCCCACAATAACGAGGTAGTGTTTAGTTAGTATTGGATAAATTGCCCAGCCCGGCGACGATACCCCACCACTGAAAATGTCTGGCGGTGGTCTTTGTTAATACATGTGAATTTGCTGAACATTTTTCAACATGTTTCAACATCCGAAGTTCTCCTACCAGCCTAATAATCCGTAACATATTGGCAAGCCAAACAATGAAGTTCGAGATGGAGTCTATTGAGTCATTATACAAGTTCTAGGAAATATATCAACAGATTGCTTTTAGGTACCCACTAGAAAAAAAGTATACGCTGACAAATGTCCCTTGCTTGCCTGGGGTTGTTTGTGTTTCTATAAATGCCTGCTACTACAATGCCATGACGTCACGACGTCGTGAAACAACGTCTTTCAATAATGGGGCTTTTAAAATCATCCTAAATGGCTTAGTAATGCTTAGCACTAGGGGGCGTCTGTCAGGGGGTAAGCACCATTTAAAATGTCTGTCAACTACTGTAACTTACTCAAAGTACACTAAGGTAATATAGAAATCAATTTGGTGTGGTATCTCAAACACTGAGTCTGGCACCAACATAAATATTCCTCACTAGAGGGCGTCGGTCAGGGGGCAAGCACTGTTTAAAATGTCTGTCGTCCATAGTAGATGATTTATCATTAACAGGCCCGGCGGAGTGGGGGGCTGGGGGGGGGGGGCTAAATTTGGCCGCAAGTACTCTTTTCTCCAGGTTATTGCGGCCCCTGGACCCTTGCCTATAAGGACCTAGGTTGGAAGCCCCCCCCAATCAAGAATTGCTTCCGCCGGCCCTGATTAAATGGTCCTTAATCTAACAAATTTTTAGTTGGTATCTCCAATATTAGATCTAGACCCATAGAGACCCTCCTTTAAGACATGTCTGTCAGGGGGGTGTTACCCCCAATATTGTCTGTCATTACTCTTTCCATAATTAAAACACTTCATTCATCATGTATATATTGGTTTCACTCAGTACCTCTAATGTTGGATCCAGACATGTTTTTAGGGGCCAGTTTAAGGGGGCTACTGCGGTCAGGCCCCTGATATATGCTGACAGACGTCCAGTTTTATTATTCAAGGAAATACCCACAACTTGCTATAAAGTTGAACCTTGGTTCGAGGGCCTGGGCTGCCACACTATACATACTTCTTAAAATTCTCGAAGTATACTCGACTAAAATATCATAGATATAAAAATTAAAATCATCCTGTCTCTTCTGAAGCGGAGCTTATTATAGACCCCGTAAGTTTCATATGCTGGTTTTTCACTGAATTTTGAATACAAACAAATTTATAAGAGCTAGGCCTTATTACCACTGGGGGTGGGGACACGCTGGCTCAGAGAGTAAGGCGTTGGCTCGCTAGCCTTGAGGTCCGTCTTCAATCCCTGATTTGACCGAGAAAGTTCATCAGTGGTGCAGGACAGAGGACCTGGCAAGGGACAAGTGGGACGAATCAGACACAACTGTAGTGTTATTATTGTCTTCGTACCAGACCATCTTGCGAATCTACCCATTGAAATCTCCAGAAATGGACAAAATTGGCTATAGGACAGTCATCAAGTGCCTGCAACTGAAAGGTCTAGCCCCACCACAGATACATACCAACATGGTCTCCACTTTTAAGGGATGATGCCCTTTTCTTTTCACAGTAAAGAAATATATAGATAATGTAATGCTACTATTATCTATATATTATTACTGATGTAATGCTACTATTATCTATATATTATTACTGATGTAATGATACTATTATCTATATATTATTACTGATGTAATGATACTATTATTTACATATTATTACTGATGTAATGATACTATTATCTACATATTATTACTGATGTAATGATACTATTATCTACATATTATTACTGATGTAATGGTACTATTATCTATATATTATTACTGATGTAATACTACTATTATCTATGTAGAATTACTGATGTAATACTACTATTACTAATGTAATCCTTCTAATGTCGTATGTATTATTACTGATGTATTTATCTACTATTATCTATATAATATTACTGATGTAACCCTACTATTATTATCACTGATGCAATCCTACCCTCACTAAAAACAAAACACATAAATTTGAATCAACAAAATATTTTCAGTTTGTCCAAATAGTGGTTGTGCGAGACGAAAGAGGGGAACTTATGATTTCTTCAAAACGTTAAGAATTGCCGGTAAGCCATCATTCTTATTCATCTTCATGAACTGGTATACGATTATTACAAAATAAATAGATTGATATAAATTTGTGATATAAATTTCAAACTGATAAAATTATCGCCCATTTGTCCACAAAGAGCGATGGGTTTCTGACTAATTAAAGACTTTCTTGTTCCTTTTGAAATGCCTGATACCACTTTATATGTATTTTAGTTGTTCAGGACTTCGGATTATGATCTATAAAGGTATTAATCCCGTCAATTTATGAAAAAATTTGCAAGAAAAAATTTTTCTAATGGTTTCTAGTAGCGTTAGGTGTACTGAATGACATCCTAAAATTGGAGTACCGGTAAGCCCAAGATTTTGAGGGTAAAGGGTCAAACTTTTATATAGCATGGTTTTCAGAGATATCCGGTGCTCTCTAGAACAATATCCGGTGCTCCCTTCCTGCAGCAGGTCGTCAAACCTGGAAATATAGTCCACCTAATGTTTTTTGATGGATTATATATCTTCAGTATGCTAGATTCAGAATCCGGATGATGCCACCCTGGCACCCTTGGGGAAATTTAAATATTCAAGATGGCCGCCATGAGGCATTTTCTGGTTATTTAGTGGGGTAAAATATGTGACAGATTCTCTCTGACTTCGGTTTGAAGATGTTTTCAACCCACTGGATCCAATGAGCTTGGGTATTCCTCCTAAAAATGACGACAAATTCCGCTTGGGGTCTAAATTCAAAATGGTGGCTTATTTTGACAGGAAACTTTTAAAGTTCCCTAACAAGGTTTGTAATATATTGAAATATGGGTTTTCGGTGTATTATATATCTTCAATATGTGTAGTTTCTGGCAGTTGATTGTGTTTGACCGTGTCTACTTTGTCCTTATAAGAATATAAGGGGAAGAACATCATCGGGTTGGAACAACGTTTGGTTGAACCTTTATTTATGTTTATATCTGAAGAAGTTGACAACGAAAACCTATATTTTAATGTATTGCACACCGTATTAGGGATCATTGTCAATTTGGCCCCCTAGTGGAATTAGACAGCTTTTAGGAAGAATACCAAAGGTCATTGGATTCAGCGGGTCAAATTCTGATAGAAATCGCCTTTATACTGAGAATCTGTCCCGAATTTTACCCCACTAAATTAAAGTAAATAACCAGAAAATGCCTCATGACGGCCATCTTGAATTTGTTAATTTCCCCAAGGAAGTCAGACTGGCTTCATCCGGATTCTGGAACTACACATATTGAAGATATATAATACACCAAAAACCTATATTTCAATATATTACACACCTTTTTGACGAACTTTATAAGTTTCCTGCCAAAATAAGCCACCATTTTGAATTTGGCCCCCAAGCGGAATTAGCCGTCATTTTTTAGGAGGAATACCCATGCTCATTGGATTCAGTGGGTCGAATTCTTATAAAACCCATCTTCAAACCGAGGTCCGAGAGAATCTGTCACATATTTTACCCCACTAAATAACCAGAAAATGCCTCATGGCGGCCATCTTGAATATTTAAATTTCCCCAAGAGTGCCATTATCCGGATTCTTAATCTACACTTATTGAAGATATATAATCCACCAAAAAACATTAGGTGAACTATATTTCCACGTTAAGGCTTAAAATGGAGTTTGGCAACAACTGGACTATCTCTAAATTAATGTTTTGGGGTCATTCTTTCATTTGAAGATATGCCCGGTGATTTTAAGTTGTTCCGTATACTGTTTTCGGGGAATTCTCTACCCAAAAACGTATATTCGTAACTCTGCACTTCTTCATCACTTACTGGCATATGTATATGTTTTTGGGTCCCTCCCTCCAATAATCTTATGTATTGGAAGATGAGCGAAACAAGACAAGCAAATAGATATGCAAGAAATTATTTACCAATTTGGTCTTCATAGAAAGAAGCGCCATGCCGTCTGTATGATTTCTAAGACAAATGAATGTGCATTTCATTACCTGGGCAGGTTTTGCTAAATAAGCGCTAATCTCAGTTTACTGGGCTATATAATGTTATAGTTTACATCACATTTACTGTTATACATTCATAGAACCTCAAGGTAAGGCCAGTAGCGGATCTAGAAGCTGTCAATAGGGGCGGGTTCCACATTTAGGGCGCCTTCCATAATCTCACCTCACAATAAATATCAACAAAATACAGGCTCTAAAACTGGACGTCCCGGTAAAACATAGATCGTATCGTCTATGTTCGCCGATCGCTATCTCGCCGGAAAGCAGTTTAATTCAAGGTGACATAAAGTGCATGTCATATTATGATTTTTATTGATTTTGTTATTACTTTTTGTGAACCTTAGGGGCAGTTACGGAAGCTCATTAGGATCAATCAAATGAAAAAAAAATCATTACTAGATAGTATCTTGTTATTACAAGATACGGAGAAGCCCATGAGTAACTTATTTTAAGGTCGCCAATCACCGATTTATCGCGAACAGCTAGATCAACTTGGTACTTTTTTTTATGTTACAGAATCGGCATATTCATATCATGCTCCCATAATTATAATTCGTTATTTCCATGCCCCCATTAAAATCGTAAAGTTCATACTCTCGTTATCTCCATACCCCCACCAACTTCATATTGATATCATGATTCATCAACTTTAATGCTCTCCTTGAAACCACAGAACGCTATTTATATTTTTCGGAAAACTTCGTTAAATTTTTTTGTTATGTTTTTGTTTTCCTTTGTTTTGACTTTACACAATTTTTATTGTCTGCAGAAATTAACGAACGGCCGTTAAACAGCAGATATGATTCAAATCTTGTCATGTTAATAAATGTCTAATTAATCTGCAATAGGAAGATTTAGCTCTTGCAAAATATATGTTTAAAGGAGCTAAGTCTCTAACTCCATATTTTCCATTATATTTGAAATTAAAAACACGAATTAGAATTCAATATTTATCAATTTCAATCAATATTGATGCCGTGAAACTAGAGGATCCTAATATCCAATATTTAAGACACAATTATAATCAGTGCACGATTAGTGTACTCTATGGTATCAGGTGCCATTTTGTAATGAAGAAATAAAAACATACCCTACAACACAACGTCGAAGTAATTAGTAAAGCCTGGCGCACACTACACGACGACATTGGCGATTTCGGTCGCCGACGATGAGAAATCAAAAACTCACCTAGTGTGCGCAGTCGGTCGCTAGCGATTTTTCATCGCAAATATCAGACATGTTTGATATGATCACCCAAGTTGTCGCATCGTCGGTAACAAATCGTGTTATGTGCTCACCTCGGTGACAAGTTAAGCGACAATCAAGGAAATAAATTCACCTATTAAACCAATCATGTTTGGTTATTCCTCTCATGTGACATAACCACACACGAGGTTTCTCGGATTGTTTTTCTGTTGCATGTATAAGTGGCCCGGGTAATGTAATTTAGCCCTAACTTACTAATTGAAATTAAGTTTTCAGTTCTGACCCTTATTAAATGTGTGAGCTATCGTATACATGGTAGGCCCAGTGGATTGTTACGTTTGTATAGCAATATACTCAATAATAATATAGTCCTAGGATTCATAGATGGTAATTAGACTGGGCTTTTTTTCCAGCAATTGTAGCGAGAAAACGGAGGGTAACAGTCAATCACTCTCCTGGGCTTATTGGTTGTCCCATCTTGGTTGTTTGATTGGTAATGAGAGGATTAATCATATTTAGGAGATTCTGGAATATTTCTGGACTCATCCTCACATAGCCTCTTTTCTATACATACCAGAGTCGCACAATTATTTGAGATCGTTACTTGGAATACTATAAACGCACAGCACTCGACTGCGTTGATCATTATGTATTCAATGCGACGACGATTAAAATGCATGGAGAGGTGTCACATGACAGTTTTTTTTTCGTGCTCACTCCACTTACGTTGCCAATCTGTTTCACAGAGATCTTCTAATATCTCTGTAACAGATGACTGTTTCGACACGTGACGTCACATCACGTGGCGTCAATCAATGTCTCAATAGCGGGTGCATTGTTTACATAAGACGTTACTGATTCGGGCTAAATGGTGAATTTTACTTATTTTAATAGCCATTTACACTAAATAGGAAATGATTTTTACCTACAAATAATTCAAACGGCTTTATTTAGTTTTCTAATAAATGAAAAACTTAGAACTTAATTTGACGGAGACAAGGACAGCTGTCTAGTCGTTCGGATGGGATGGAAAACCGAGGTCCCGTGTACACATTGGCGTGCACGTAAAAGATCCCTTGACAGTTGGAATTCGATATAAGAGTAGGCCAAAGTGCCGCTGCCCGGGCAAAATTTCCCTCATAGCACACTGTATGGCGTATGCCCGTCTTCATTAGCCCAGGTTAGGAGCAGAACAGTCGGACGTTAAACCCCTTCATTTCCTTATCAGTGATTGTAGCGGCCTAGCGAAAATTCACTGCTGATCAGTGTGTTACGTTGCGGCGATATTTGTCGCCAAACTCGTCGCTTAAGTTGTCGCATAATAATTTAAAAATCGTGTAGAATGCACTAAGCAGGCGTAAACAACTGTCGTTCAATTTACATATACTCAGCCAAATTAAAAACTTGACACCGATGAATTTCAACAAATTTTTTTTCTGGTACGTCAAATAAATTTTAAAGTGTTTCTAACGATAGTAAGTAGTAAGAAGCCTTTAATTTCATAAAATTGTGAAGTCACGTGGATCACGTGACTTTTGAGCATATAAAGATGAAAAACCTGAAAAACACGTGCAAACACAAACTCGTGAGGTCAATCGATGCAAGTATGCTTAAACTGAACACGCACACGTAACTTGAACTGGAAAAACAAATTAAAATTGTTATTTTCATCTTTGTTAGAAAATGCCGCACCTTTCAAATGTAGAACGTCTACGTGCTATAGGTAGGCCCTATGCTGGTCAGTCTGTGGTCACTGTTGCAAGAGCCTTTAATTGTTCACACCAGACAATAATTAATCTTAGAATGGGAGTGCTTCAAACTGAAACTATTGCCGACCGCCCAAGGGCGGGAGCGTCACGTGTGAAGTCACTCCAGGAAGATCAAGCAATACGATTACGTCATCTTAGAAACAGATTTGTCACTGCAACCTCCACAAGTAGAGAGATGTTTGGTGGAAGGGTAACTGCTGGTCTTCGAGCTCGGAGGCCCTATAATGGACCAATATTGACACCTCTTCATCGCCGTAACCGACTTGTGTGGGCCACAAGACACATAAGATTTACTCAAAGACAGTGGAATTCGGTTGTCTTTAGTGACGAATCTCGATTCACTTTGAGATTTGCCGATGGCAGGGTCCGAGTGTACCGCAGACGAGGTGAACGTTACGCCCAAGTATGCGTCAGAGAAGCTGACCGATTTGGTGGCGGCAGCGTCATGGTTTGGGGTTCTTTTTGTGCACATGGACGTTCTCCTCTTGTTGTTGTCCAAGGGAACTTAAATGCTGTCCAGTACAGGGATCAGATTTTGCAACCTGTTCTTCTTCCGTTTATGCAGAGACATGGGCCTGGGCTAACGTTTCAACAAGACAATGCTCGACCCCATACAGCAATTGCTACCCAGAATTTTTTAAGAAATGCCGGTGTCTAAGTCCTGGATTGGCCGTCGCTTAGTCCCGACCTTAATCCTATTGAACACATCTGGGACGAACTGGGTCGACGTGTTACTAAACACTTTATTCCGATTGTTCTCCAAGTCTGTGAATTTCATTTTGGGGGGTACTGTGACATCACGAACGTTATCAATGTCAAGGACTTTCGGCGAGACGTATTCTTGCTTTCTGTTGAAGTCATGGTCGTCTGTGCACAACATAACACTAAAATAGTTGCCTTAAACCAAATATTAAAAATCTAGTCCCAAAAATCCCGAGTGTCAAGTTTTTATTTGGCTGAGTATATATTCATGTTACATTAATATGCCAGTCATGGCCCTTGATCACTTAAAAAAATCTTGTGGAAGCTCTACAGGCTAAAGTTAATATCAAATTTATACACAGTGTTTAAGGTCATGGGGCGAAGAGGCCTACTGATTTTCAGCGATTGCCGATTATTACTGCCAAAGTTATGGCCCTTGATCGCTTTGAAAAATCTTGTGACGCTCTAGAGGCTCAAGTTATGATCCGATTGACTTCAGATTGATACACAGAGTTAAAGAGCTTGAGACGAACAAGTATATTGACTTTCAATGAATTTTTATGACTTGAACAGCTAAATCCATAATATTAAAAGTTTTGTATACTAAACGTTAGCATGCGGCAAAAATTTATAAAAACCAAACAAATTCTAATGGTTTTCTGATAATTACTTCATAAGGTGTTACTCTTAATCAGATTTTAGTGTATTATAAATGTTTCATTACCGAAAAAAGTAAAAATATGAGACAACTCTTGTTGACTGCCCGGACAATTTAGCTGCTGTGGGCGTATGTTTCGTTGCCTGGCAACCTATCTTTATATATTTCAAGGTTCCAAAAATAGAGCCATACACCCATTAATTAGTAAGAACCCACTGATATATATTTAGGTAAATTTTTGGCCGTTTTGTTTTCATTCGTTTTAACTTTACACCAGTGATGCAGGACGGAGGGCCTGACAAGGACAGCTGTCTAGTCGTTCGGATGGGACGAAAAACAGAGGTCCCGTGTACACATTGGCGTGCACGTAAAAGATCCCTTGGCAGTTGGAATTCGATATAAGAGTAGGCCGTAGCGCCGCTGCTCGGGCAAAATTTCCCTCATAGCACACTGTATGGCGTATGCCCGTCTTCATTAGCCCAGTTTAGGAGCAGAACAGTAGGACGTTAAACCCCATTTCATTTCATTTCCTTTAATTTTACACAGTTTTGGTCGTTTTGGATTAACGCTGTTTCATCTATATATATCCCTTTTAAACAAGCCGTTACCTTCTTTACGTTTCGCTGAACCTCTTTCATGCGCCTCTATTTAATTCAATTGAATCCAAGCCTGAAAAATATCTATCGTTGCGACCTTGATTTTGATTTCTTTAATAATTAATTGGTGTACATTCGGGCTTTTTCAATATTTCTGAAAAATGTATATGGCATTCCGTGGCTTTAAAGATACATTGTGCCGAAAATATTTATCGGGTGGTTATTTCGTATAAAAGTATGGCAAATTTGGTATTATATGGAAAGTATAGACACGCAATCTCAATGAAAACATACTGGATTACCCAAAAACACCAACGGGGCAAGCAATGGGAAAAATGTCAGGGTAACCCGACTGTTGCCTGCCAGCTTATTGTGTGCTAGCTTGACTGGGGAAGCGGTTGTTATTACTTGATCAAATAGTTAAGCGGTTTTGGGAACATTGAGGGGTGTCAACGGAAAAAGTAGTTGATAGAAAATAATTAAGAATTTACTTAGGTCTCAATATGTACGATAAATGGACAGTAAGTAACGAAAAATACATTCTGAAAAATGGACCCTCCCACAATTTATAGCTTGCGGTATCTCCCGACGAATACAAAGTTTTAAGAAGGATTTGAAGCAAATATTTGATAGATTAGTTAGTTTGAATATGTTTTTAGTCCAAAAATATCATCAAATCACTCATTTTGTACGCCGGAAAGTATCTTTAAGGAGAGCATGAAATCAATGTATCAATAATAAATGATATCAATGAGGGTATAAAGTTAATGGAACTATGAAGTTAATGAGAGTATGAACTTAATGAATGGTTTTTAATGAGGGCACGAAATATCTAATGATATTAATGGGAGCATGACCTGAATAAGCCGATCCTGTAACATAAAAAAGTACTTCGTTGACCTATCTATCCGATAAATCAGTGTTGGGCGACCTTGAAATAAACTAGTTAGAACACCATTTCTTTCATGTGATAGACCCTAACGGGCTTCTCTGGAGCCACGGTGGCTAGGTGGTTAAGGCGCTGGCTCGCTAGCCTGGAGGTCGGGTGTTCGATCCCTGCATTGGCCGAGAAAGTTCATCCAGATTTTCCGACGTGGTTTCCCCTTGTCAGTGGTGCAGAACGGAGGGCCTGACAAGGACAGCTGTCTAGTCCTTCGGATGAGACGAAAAACCGAGGTCCCGTGTATACATTGGAATGCACGTAAAAGATCCCTTGGCAGTTGGAATTCGATATAAGAGCAGGCGATAGTGCCGCTGCCCGGGCAAAATTTCCCTCATAGCACACTGTATGGCGTATCCCCGTCTTCATTAGCCCAGTATAGGAGCAGAACAGTCGGACGTTAAACCCCATTTCATTTCATTTCATTTCCTTATCTTGTAATTACAGGACAGTTACAAGAAAACTATCTTGTAATTACAAGATAGTTTTCTTGTAATTACAAGATACTCAGAATATATTTGAGTCAATATCCTGGCTTTTGATATCATTGATGGGAGAAAATTCTTGTGAACGAAAGGATCCGAAATGGCAGTCAGTGGGACAGATTCTCGAGATCTGCCTGTCAATTCCGCCTGTTTTGTGAGAGTTGATAGCAGTACAGCGAGGAGTAGAAGAATGATGCCATAATAGAATCGAACGCCGTAGGCGCAAAAAATATCAGATAGCAACGTACAATATATAACTGAGCTTTTGATTATTTAGGACTGGGCCGGAAAATTTTAGCCAATTTCCTGGCATTTGAGTTCATTGATGGGAGCAAATTCTAGTGAACGAGAGGATAAGAATACGGGACGGAATCTTGAGGCCTGTCTGTCAATTCCGCCTGTTTTGTGAGAGTTGACAGAACATTTGTACAGTCTGTCGTCCCACAACCCACTCACTAAAGGTACTACTAACTTGGGGAATCACTATAACCGTGACTATGATAGTGATAAGATAGTACAAGACCATAGAGGAATGGAAGAATGGTGACATTATGGAATCGAGCGCCGTAGACCCGAAAAAATTTCAAATAGCGATAAGATAGTATTAGACCAAAGAGGAGTGGAAGAATGGTGCAAATGGGGCGCGAAAAATTTCAGATAGGGACTTATAATAATTGAGCTTTTAATTTTTGGGAACTGAGCGCTTACTTGGTGTCATGGAAATAGGGATGTGTCTTTTTCATTTCTATTCTATTGTATGGCTTTTTCATTTCTATTCTATTGTATGGGAAGTCCACTGTGCAATAATTCTATGAAGTTTACATGCCAAATCGCATTCCATTTATGACTTCATTTATATGGTACATAGTAAAGTCAGCAGTTTAAAATATGAGATAGTATTGTGCTATAATGTTAATGGAGCTATGTATCATATTGTACAACTAATTAAATATTGGCTATCACGAATCTTAAGTTTACCAACACTTTTTTTCGGGTGATTTGAGGTACCAAACTAAAAGTAAGTGTCCTCTTGCATGGTGATATTGATATTATTGTTGATACATTATGAAATATTGACTTCCAAAACCATACTTCAGATACAAAGATGCTATATATATCTTCAAATAAAATAATTACCCGGAAAACATTAATTCACATGTTCATATTACACTTATTGGGTCTTAAACAAAAAATTTAAAAATTTCTTGTACATTGATTTGACGAATGTCGGCCATCTTGGAGTTTACTTATTTTTACCGCTTTAAGGTACCAGTTAACACTACTGGCTATATCTTCAAATGTAGGAATGACCCCAAAAGCATTAATTTATATGTTCATAACACATGTACAGGGTCTTAAATCAACAGTTTAGTATTTTCTTGTACGTAGATTAGGCAAATGTCGGCCATCTTGGATTTTACCGGTGCGCAAAATTTGGTAAACTTTTGGGAATTTATAAAGTACGCCTAAATAAACACAAAAAATGCATAGAAACGTTTTCTTGAAATTTTTTAGGGGGTAAAATCATAAATTGACTGGACTATATACTATACCTTTGGTATTTATATTTATTGTTTTCTAGGTGGTACTTCAGTAACCTCAACATGTGACTACCCAGGCGTCGTTGCTATACAGGCTACAGCACCAAATGGTGATGCTCTAACTGTGTGTACGGGAGCACTCATCAGTGAAACAGAAGTACAACTTCCGAGCAATTGTGCCGAAACACTGAATCTTGCTGGGTAAGACTAAGCACATATAAGGCACTGACAAGTAAACATTCGCGTCTGATGCTATCATTTATTATACAAAGCCTAAGCAATGGGTTTTTGTTTTCATCTCATGAACTTCAGCGCTGGGGAGACGACAATACACGACCACATACAAATATAAAAGTTTAATCTTAAAATATGAATTAATTATAAACATTTTTTAACTTATAAATTTCAATGTATAAATTAGATTTAAAAATGTATTTTATTTTATTATTTTAGAGCCACTAATGATGTGGCTGTTGTCGATGGAAATGAAATCGTTATTGCATCAATTTCAAGTATGTAGATTACAAAATTAAATTTTCAATTTACAGCAGTATTATATTAGTATGGAATTGGCCTGTGTCCAGAACAGGTGCCGCGGTGGCTCGGTGCTGATTTCCATACGACTCATTATATATGCCACAAATCCCGATTACTTGACACCCTATGATAAAAGGACCTCATCAAATGGCAATGTCAATTGTATGCTTTTCAGTCAGTGCTATTTTCCGATAACTTGATTCTTTTTTATGAAAATACATTAATAAGATATATATATGCGAATATAATATTTATGCACATAACAATGATCCAGTGTGGCCACAGAGGTCCATAATATGATTCACGAGTCAAATTGAGGATCGATATTGAGAATCTCCTACGAGTCTTTTTTGATATCAAAAAATATCAACAGAAGTCGATAAAGTAAAAAAAGAAACAGGTTTTGCCGATTTTTTTTTTATTTTATCGACGAGTGTTGATATTTTTTTTTATATCCACAAGGGCGAGTAGAAGATTTTATATATCACCAGACCTTTTCTTACACGCACAAATAAAGAAATAATTGACAAATCAAATTCATGTAAAGCGATATATCCAAGGAGGTATCGTTCATTAGAATATGGTAGTTATTACACAAGCGATATTTACTGTAGAATGTGTTATTGGGTGATAAATAAACCTCTTGATAAGTGAGCCAGTACCGAACTCACTGGGCCACCGTGGCTCCAAATGAAAATATAAGCACAGCTGTAAAGCTTACGGTAAACGATGAAAAGATAAAAGGTATGCAGACACAAGCTTATTCATAAATCTAACAATATCACCCCTAAGTTACTAAAGGTTGGTTATTTATATTAATATAGGTTCTAAACCTTTAGCTATTGCTACTCTGTCTACACCAGTTGATATCAATGCTGCTCCTTCACAGGCCTGTATATATAATAAAAATATGGGTGCCTACAATAATTGTGAAATTGTTGGCTATGGAACTGATACCACTAACCGTAAGTTTTATGTTTAAAATGACCATATCTAGATTAAGTTTTCAAAAATTATATTTTCTATATTAAGTTTGATAATATTACATATCAAGATTAAGTCTGCTAGAATCATATTATCAACGCGTCGTCGTTTTTGTCCATTTCAGTTCAATCACCGCGAAGTTGTCAATTAAAGTAATAACATTTAGAAAAAAACTTATATGGATATTCTAGATTTAAAATTGATTTATCTTGAGCATAGTGATGGGGGCAGTTATTTGTTATGATTAACATATAAAGATTAGGATTGGTTATAGTTTTTAAGTTGCTGTTAATTAAATTCGTAACAATATGGTTTTTTTAGAACTACAGACAGTTGCACAGACATCCAAGGTAACATTCAATGATATAGCATGTAATGGCATCGATACAAGTTTAACTATTCCAGAAGCTTCCTATGGATGCGCATCTTTGGAACCAAATTCTGCAGCCTGTGCTGTAAGTTTGATTTTATATAAACTTGACTTTGTTTGGCTTGAGGAACCATAATCTGTCATCGTATTTTTCGAATGTGTTATTAGGGCTTTTAAGATAGCCTCGCAAAGCGTCGAAATATCTGGACAGCAGCTTATCCGAAAGGAAAACTTGAATATGGAATGCCTTCAAGAAATCTAATTGCTGTCTTGTTTGCAAGTTTGAAATAATCTGCTAACAAATGTTGACTTCACTGCCTTCGGAAGGGTTTAGGCACAAAGGGTGGGTGAGGGGGGGGGGGACAAAAGGTCGCTGAATATCTACAGTGTTCGTCATCGCATACCCACAATGGTTCAAGTTAGAATTGAAACAGATTCTGTAAACTCTATCATGTTCACAAGGTTTTTGGAAAAGGGTGCGTAAATATTAAACGCTGACCATCGATACAGTCCTCTCATGGCCCCAATGTCTCAAACGAAACTATAGCGACTATCGTATTCATAGGGTTTTCGACAAAAGGGGATAACATAGCAACGGAAGGTCGCAGAATACTTATTATCGATAGGTTTCTTATTTTTCTGACCCCAATAATTCTCACCAAAAATCCGTTAAAAACAATATTGGTAACTCCGAAACGAAAGGTCGCAGGACGTTGAATATCATTAGGGTTTGTCCTCTTATGCCCAAATGCTTCACACCAAATATGAAAAAATAAAGAAATTTTGATAAAAAAAACTGTAGTGTTCACAACGTTGTCGACAAAGGGGAATAACTCCGGAATGCTGATTATCGATTGGGTTCATAACTTCATAACCCCAATGTTTCCAAATGAATGCTCCCCATTGATTTGGGCAAAATGGGAATAACTCTGGAATAGAAGGTTGCGGAAAGCTGAATACCGATAGCGTTCATCCGCTCATGACTCAAATTCTTCACACCAAATTCGATTGAATGCAAATCACACTACAGTGAATATTCGATAGGTCGCTACAATCACAGGGTGGGGTGACATCGGTGCGGGTTAATTAGCTCGCAATATTAACTTTTTTCGCAAATTAAATTCTAGAATATTTTTTTTAAGAATTAGAAAAATAGATAAAGGTGTTTGAAGTATTATCTGAATGAAAAATATTTCCTATTTAGCGTAAATTAAATGGGTATATTAAAAATGAGTAAAAGGCGCCATTCTGCCCAGACAAGTTTACGCTACCACGTCTTGTGTAAACAATGCAAACGCCGTAGATCCAATGATCGACGATGTGTGATGTGACGTCACATGTAGGAGGCATAACCCCTATTATAATTATCAGTCATCTTATACAGAGGTGTAAGAAAGCTTTTGCAATACCTATCTGAAACAGACTGGCAAATCTTTTGGTTAATCTGTTTATATGATTTGTCAAAAGCTAATCTGTCAAAAGCCAATTGTTGACGGACCACAGGCGAAGGGGGGGGGGGGCAACCTCAGTTGTGTGTGTGGGGGGGGGGGGGGGTAAATGCCCGAAAAAAAAAATTTGTCACAAGAATTTTCAGAATGAAGCATTAACTAAAACGAGTTTTCATCAAATGTTTTTGCGCGAGGTCTTAAGTATTATATACCTTCAAAAAAAGTAGGGGGTATTGAAATGCAAATACCTATGCAGGTGTGTGTTATGATAAATAGTCATGGACACTTGACATGCTTTGAGAGTATGTTCACAGATTAAGAACTTATCGCCCCAACAGAACCACTGAGCTGCATGTGTGACACGCGATAGCGCCATACACGTTAGAGGGGTTCATTGTCAAATTTGACACTTCAAGGAAGGGTTGATGAAAACTGCCGTGTGCTGGTTTATCCTATCCTTGTTTGCTTTCCTATCGGTTCTTGCATAAGATTTACGGTTTAGCATATCTTTGCTTTAGTGTGTTACGTTTAATTTGCAATGAGACGTCTTCAACATGATTGATGAACGTCTACGTGCTATTGGCATGCTTCAAATGAGTTCTACAAAGCGATCAGTAGCCAACGTCAACCGACAATACTGCAAGAATTGGCCGTGGCACTGCAAGAGGAGTGGGTCAGATTGGCCCAAATCGTGATTGGACGGTTGATGGAGCAATTACTCATTATTAAGACAAAAATCAAAAACGTCCATTTTCACTGTTGACAGTGTATCTCTTTGCGAGTGAAATGGGACCGTCAGATAAGCTGCCCATATGAACTGTTTATGTTCATGTGTAGGCAATTGGCCTGTTATTAACATACACTGTTTACCTCTAATAGAAACAGCAATGCATTTCCGTAGTTTTGTATTGACTCTGAATATCCCCTACTTATTTTTTGAAGAGTATAGCATTCATAACGTAAACCGCGCGCGATTTCATTTTACAATTATACTTCTATTATACAATATGGACTCATTCTCTGATGTTTGTGCCCGATAACGGAAATACAATGCCCGAAAAATTGATGGTTCACCGGATCTGGCTCCTACGGTTATGTACGCAAACTCTCAAATATCAATCTAGCATGCATCCCGGAATACAAATGTATTAGGTTTTAGTTAATTTGGTTTGAAGTGTTTGTTTTGATTGGAACGGTTGTTATTACTTTGTGTTGTATTACAGGGCGATGGGGGAGCTTTGATTGTTTGTGATTTGCTATCAACACAAGAAAAGGTGGTGGTCGGCCAAGCTGAAACATTCGACTGTGATACCAACAACCCAGCTGTGTATTTCCAAAATTTTGATGTTTAGACATTATCATGTTTAGACTTTATAATGGTTAGCCATTAAAAGAAATTTCATCTGAAATCAATTTTGTTGTTTTTTCATTTGTGCATCCAGTGTAAATTGAATGTTAATGGCTCGATGAGTCATTTGCATTTTCGCTAAAATATCAAACTATACGCGCCAGGTTTCTCCGCTACCATTAAAAGGAGCCTACAATGGCCGCTTTATATAAATGAGTATTTTGGGAAATACTAACTCTAACCTTAACCCTTTTTAGAAGACTGAACCGGAATTTACCTTTTACCCCTCTAAAAAGGTTTAGTGTTAGGGTTAGTTTTCCTCAAAATACTCATTTATATAAAGCGGCCATTGTGGACTCCAGAAATTCCCGAATCTCCCCAACCGGCCAACAATCAGCCTCTCCCAATATTATTATGTTTGGCATTCATAAGTACTCTTAGGACAACTTGACGTGAATCAAATATTACAATACAACGGGCAGATTTTTATTCAAAAATAGCCCATTAAACAGAAGGAATGAAAGGGTGAATCGTAACTTTAGAAGCACTACTTGCTTTTTAACAAGGACCTGGACACATGCTTATATATGTAATAACTGCATAACTAGAGTTGTCACAATATTATGCCGTCGCCCCTGTCTGGGTGTGGGTGGGTGTGTGTGTGTGTGTGTGTATGTATGTGTGTCTGTGGGTCGCCTACAGGGCGCAATTCTTACTCGATTTTCTTCAAACTTTGTATACTTAGTCCTTATACCCTAAGGATAATCCCTATTGTTTTTGGTGCATGCCTGACCCCCAGGGGCAGAGCCATGCCCATTTTTTGTATTTGTTTGTTTGTCGTCTACAGACCGCATTTCTTAACGTATCATTTTGAAACTTTGCATACCTATTCTTTGTACCCTAAGGAACATCCCTATCGTTTGGAGTGCATACCCAACCCCCAGGGGCAGAGCCAGGCCCATTTTCTTTCTGTGTGCCTGTGTGTCGCCTACAGGCCACAATTCTTAAGTGATCATCTTGATTCTTTGCATACTTATTCCTTATACCCTAAGGATGATCCCTTTTGTTTTTGGTGCATGCCCCATTCCCCAGGGACAGAGCCACGCCCATTTCTTGTATTTGTTTGTTTGTCGTCTACAGGCCACATTTCTTAACGCATCATTCCGAAACTTTGCATACTTATTCTTTGTACCCTAAGGAACATCCCTATCGTTTGGGGTGCATGCCCAACCCCCAGGGCCAGAGACACGCCCATTTTCTTTTTGTGTGTCTGTGTGTCGCCTACAGGCCACAATTCTTAATCGATCGTCTTGAAAAAATTTCATATGAATTCCTTATACCCTAAGGATGATCCCAATTGTTTTGGTGCATGCCCGACCCCCAGTTGCAGAACCACGCCCATTTCTTGTATACATTGTTTGTCATCTACAGACCGCATTTCTTAACGTATCACCTTGAAACTTTGCATATTTACTCCTTCTATCCTAAGGAACATCCCTATTGTTTGTGGTGAATGCCCAGCCCCAGGGACAGAGCCACGCCCATTTTTTTTGTATGTCTCTATGTCACTTACAGCCTGCAATGCTTAATCGACCATCTTGAAAACTTTTTTATACTTATTCCTTATACCCTAAGGCTGACCTCTATTATTTTTGGTGCATGCCTGACCCCTGGGACAGAGGCACGGTCAAAATTTATGTGCCTTTTGTGTAGCCTACAGGCGGCAATTCTTAACAGATCCTTTTGAAACTTTGCATACCTATTCCTTATACCCTAAGGATCCCCCCTGTGTTTTTTGGCGATTGTCCAACTCCCAGGGGCAGAGCTACACCCATTTTTCTTTGTGTCTCTGTGAGTTGCCTACAGGCCACGATTCTTAATGAATTGTCTTTGAACTTGGGATATGTATTCCTTATAACCTTTGGACAACAACTGCATATCCCGACCCCCAGGGACAGAGCCACGCCCAATTTTTATGTTTGTCGTTTACAGGCCGGAATTCTGAATGGATCAACTTGGTACTTGGCATATGTATTCCTTATAGCCTAAGGGTGTCAACTATTGATCTTGGTGAAAGGCTCCGACCCCCAGGGGCAGAGCCACGCCCAATTTTTGCCTTTAGCGCCCAAAGGCCACAATTCTGAATGGATTATCTTGGAACTTGGTATACATATTCCTTATACCCTAAGGACGGCAACTATTGATGTTGTCATTTCAATAACAGGATGGTACCTATTTATATTGTTTCCATATTTAACCCCCACGGACAAAGCCACGCCCATTTTTTGTATTTATCGTCTACAGGCTGCAATTCTGAATGGACCATCTCGGAACTTTGCATATTTATTCCTTATACCATAAAGACAGCAACTATTTATTTTGATGCTTGCCCCGACCTCCTGGGGAAGTGTCACACCCACTTTTTTGTTAGTATTTTGTCCGTAAATTTGGCAAAACAAACCCGACGCCTAGCCTTCTTTGCCTCTTATCATATTACAGCCATTTCATATTTCATTCTCTTCATTTTAAAAAAGTACCATATTGTAAAAGTGGTTTCTTTGGGTGTTGTTGTTATCTGAATATAAGGATCCAATATTGAAGTTTCTAAGTATTTTTAGACACTAATTATCTTTTACGGAAACATATTTAAATAAACAAGTATTTCGTCGTCAAACGTACTTTTCCATTTTATTAAATATATATATATTGTAAAATATTCGCAAGTAATTAAAGAAGTAATAAATTATATAAATTCTTACTTTTCCGTTTATTAATTAATATTTTAGAAATATCCATTAAAGTAATACTCGATTCTAATCATCGTACTTATCTAATATATTAGGATCTAATTCTAAATCTTAAGTTAAGATAAATATATATATACCTATAAAGTTTAACATTCAAATTATACTTAGAGCTTACCTGAATATAAGGATCCAATATTGAAGTTTCTAAGTAATTTATTAAGTGAAGATAAATGGTAACGTTGTTGTTTGTTAGTTGTATTTTACGTCCGCTTCCACTGAGGTGATATCGCAGACAATAACATGTTATTTGTACAAGGTGCAATAATTTACAATGTGTTTAGTGGAAAATAGGATGATTAGGTTTTTGTATATATGTACAAAAGACAAAAGGTAACAGCAAGAGACATGAATTAGTAGGTGAAAGTGGACTTTTACAAAACAGACGTGTTCGTGACAAAACAGACATAAATGTGGTCGAACATTGGGACAGACATGTAAACAAAGACATTATGACAGATCAGACAGAGTGGACGGACACTTAAACATATATTATGTACATATAGTAATTTGGTCGTTTGTATTGGTCTGGTCATTTTGTCCGGTTGAATAGCAGGGCGGTGCCACTCTTCCTTGGGGCTTATTGGTGAGTGTAAGGCCTGTACCATTCTCCCTTCCATTTAGTTATATTGTCCGGTATGGTGGTTGATTTTGTCATTGCTTCTGTTGTTCATTCCTTTGTTGTTGGTTCTCTGAAGGAAGAATCCAGCACCTGAAAAGAGAAGGCTAGAAAGAAATGAATATTTAGTCTTACGATTGTTTTTTTGTTTATTTCGTCTAGTAAGGCTTCGGGGGTGGGGGTCATTATAAACTAATAATAAGAATAAAGTGGAATAAAAGAAAATAAATTGTTAAGTGAATTGCAAATAAATAATGAGAAAAATAAATTACTCATGAATTATATTGATGGTAAATTTATTGTATAATTTGATTTATTAATTTTATCGAAGTTTTATTAGTAGTGTAGGGCGGTTTACGCTTCCTTCTAGAGGACATTTTTACGTTCCGCCCTACTGTTTAATTGATTAATTTTATTATTTTATGTATTTGGTCATGCCTATATTTATTAGAAGTGTAGGGCGGTTTACGCTTCCTTCTAGAGGACATTTTTACGTTCCGCCCTACTGTTTGATTGATTAATTTTATTATTTTATGTATTTGTTCATGCCTATATTTATTAGTAGTGTAGGGCGGTTTACGCTTCCTTCTAGAGGACATTTTTACGTTCCGCCCTACTGTTTAATTGATTATTTTATGTATTTGGACATCCCTATATTATCTATAAAATCCCAGACAAGTTTCGATGTCCAGTATCTATCGTCAGGTTGTGGAGAGAGGAGAGATTTGAGACAGAGTTTTTCCCCTCTCTGCTAGATTCCTAATTACGGATTGACGTTCTTTGTCTAATTGATTACAGTTGATTAGCAGGTGTGACGTGGTCGCAATTTGTCCACATGGGCATTTAATTGGTGTAAAGGTGAAGTCTTTTATTACGTTTATCGTTTTTAGCCTCGTGATGAGCTTGCATATTTTGATTGAGGGATGATTGATGTAAACCTTGTCTACAAGAGTGCTATCAATTTGATGGCGATGAGTATTCTCTTGTTTAAAACGGGTTTTCCATGCATTTTTAATTTTATCTTTAGCTATGCTTGTGAATTCCTGACTGCTGTATTCTTAATTTTCTATATCATTTAACGACAACCCTTCCTTGGCTAGCTTGTCAGCTTGTTCATTGCCAAAGATATTGATGTGGGAGGGGATCCATGCAAGGACTACCTCTCTTCCGTTATTCTTGATTGTTTGATTAATATCCCTAATTTGGTGGATTATGCCCTGTCTGCTTTTAGAGTAATCTGATTCGATGGATTTGATGCTACTTAGGGAGTCTGATAGGATAACGGCTTTTTGGTGTGTTTGGGTGGCTAGCCATTCTATTGCAGTTTTAATGGCCATCAGTTCTGTGGTGTACACAGAACAATGTTCTGGTATCCTTTTCCTGATGTTTAGCTTTGCTTTGGGTATGAAAATGCCGTACCCTGTCAATCCCTGTGTATTATTTTTCGATCCATCTGTATAGATTTTGAGATAGTCTGCCCATTTGGTGTCTATTAGTTCTAATGCTAGTGCTCTAGCCTCAATGGGATTAGCGTGTTTGTTTGTAACGTTAATCAGGTTCGTATTGATGACTGGATCGCTTAGTTGCCAGGGTGGAGTGACGGGATAAGTTTTTGTTTCTATGA